TCTTCTTCTTCTTCTTCTTCTTCTTCTTCTTCTTCTTCTTCTTCTTCCCCTCCTCCTCCTCCTCCTTCTTCCCCTTCTTTTTCCCCTTCTTCTTCTTTTCCTTCTCTTGTTTCTGCTTCTTTTGCTTCTTCTGTTTCTTTCATGTAAAAATAGAACTGGATTAAGCTTTCTCCATCCACATTTTCCATATCGTGGTATAAGAAATTTCATCACCTTGAAGCAGAGAACTGTTGAAGGTGCACATGGGGAAAGGAGGAAAGAAGTCTTACATTAGCACATCTGAATATTTCAAGTTTGGGGGACTTAGGGTTAAGGTTTGTGAACACCCTGATAGAGGTTAAGAGAGTTGTTTGCTTTATATAGTCTTTTTAATTTTGCTGCCTTTGCTTGTTGTATGTTAAATATATATCCTCCCATGGCTTTGGTTAAGCTGTTTGCTTGCTGTGGCAGACTAACAACATGCAATGCGGATAGATGGAAGCTATGACTGTAGATTATGGAGCCATTGTAATTATCATCTGGCAACAGGAGAAATGCCAGCATTTGCAGAGTTAAACCAGCAATCTGCTGTAAGTGAGAATGTGTTCAGAATGGCAGTGGTCATGGAACATTTAAAACCTGCCCTTAGTCTTGACCTAAATCCATTTGTATAAATATTCAACTTGTAAACTGAAGGCAATAATGCTGTAAAATTCAGAGTCAAGGCAATAAATTGTGAAAGAGAGGGTTGTGCAAAAATCTGGTTTTTTTGACTATTCCTTCCCTGTAAAATCTACTTGGGTCAGAAGAAAGCTCACTTATCCAGAAATGTAGTAATCCATTAGGTACTTCTTGACAGCTTTTTAACACTTCCAATCAAAAGGCCTGTAGGGGCATCAGCTTTTCAAGGGAAAAAAAAAGATTGCAGAAAGATCAGGAAAAACCAAGATAGCTACTGGTGTTGCAAGATAAAGATATTCACACAGACATACATGCATACAATTCTGCTTGTAATTCTATGAACTTAGCAATAGCAATAGTACTTAGACTTATATACTGCTTTATAGGGCTTTACAACCCTCTTAGCAGTTTATAGAATCAGCATATTGCTCCCAACAATTTGAGTTCTCATTTTACCCACCTCAGAAGGATGGAAGGCTGAGTCAACCTAGAGACTGGTGGGATTCAATCTGCCAAATTACAGGCAGCCAGCAATCAGCACAAGTAGCCTGCAGTACTGCACTCTAACCATTGCGCTACCGAGGCTCTTAACTTCACAGAAGCTCCCTTATTTCCACAGAATCATGCCAAGAATTAAAATATTAGGCCTTTGGTTAGGCACTAACCATTGTGAAATTAGTTTCAAAAATGAGGGTGTGCATTAATTAGTTTATTTTGCATCGATCCAGCTAAAGACAAAAATACAATACAGACTGACTGAACAGCAAGTTAGGTCTCTTTGTCCACCTCAGAGGTGGTATTCAACAGGTTCTGACCAGTTCTGGAGAACTGGTAGCGGAAATTTTGAGTAGTTAGGAGAACCGGGAAATACCAGCTCTTGACTGGAGATTTCACAATATCCTTCCCCTGCCACACCCACCAAACCATACCCACAGAACCGGTAGTAAAAAAAATTGAATCCCATCATTGGTCCACCCATAAATATTCTGATCTAGACATTTTTTGGTTTAGCTGATCAGCAAAGAGACAGTGAAAGGAGTTCTACTAGCAAGTTTTTAAATTAGAAAGCTGGATTAGTAGTAATGAAGAGGCCTACACCAGTGCATCTTTTTTTCCCTCTTTATTTCTTTGCCTAGAAAATACAATAGTGTACAAAACAATCTCTGCTGTGACCTCATTGCACCAATTCATTTCCTGTCTTCTGCCATATTTCATTGGTTGCAAGAGACAAGCCTGATGAAATGAGCAGAACAATGCTGACACATCATTCACTTGAAACCGTGACATAACATGTTGATGATGTCATGTCGTGCCATAATATCAAGATGTGGAGAGGACAAAGAGACCTTATTCTGCCCCAGACTAATATGAAAAACAACTGATGTCTTGCAAAGAACATGTATGAACTATCCAAAGCATTTTATGGCATTGCATCATGATTACTTTACGGAGAATTGTTACCTACATACAGATGGAGTTGAATTCAAGTAATGTGAGTGCAGAACCAAGACATGGAATCTGGTCACTATTTAGGAAACAATGCCCATCATGTCCTGAATGGCAAATGAGGGCTGGAAGACTTGAAGATTCCAGTTTGCCACTTGCTAATCATTATTTGCACTTTGTGCAGCCATATTTGGAGAAAACTTCCCTCAGCTGAAATCTATGGCAAAACTCCAGTTAAGTCACCCATTAAGTCTAGACAACAAGATTGAGATCTCTTCTACAAATAAAGTATGAGCAGCCACTAATGAAAGCATTTACTTCTAACAAAGGCAGCACAAAGCGCAACAGTGAGTGGCATTGGGATTCTGCAAGCAGCAACAGCAGACACTCCACAGAGATTTGTGGGGGAGAGAGGCTGCCATAGTTATTAGAGTGGTTAGTGGAATGGAACAGGAAACATGAGGAGGTTATGACATCACCATCTCAACTTGACATGCATCATCTATCAGGGATGGCTTAAGGATAATGAAATAAATCATAGCCTGATGCAATGAGATGGACAAGATGACCCTACTGCTGCTTCCTTTCAGCAGTCTACAACTAGAAAAGAGTAGCTGCATCTATCAGACGTGTAGAAATCTAGTGAGCTACAGTTCATCAGTTCTGAGGGCACTGTTCTCACGGGTACACAGTTACTTAGTGCCTTGAGACAATAAGATTGCTATCAATCCTTTTTGACCTACTTTTCCAATTTTTACATTTTTAAAGTGTCTTTCAGATTTTCCTCCTCCCGCACATATTTTCTGGAATGATTCTCTGCAGAGACATCTATGGCAAATACAGTATATACAATGGATTCAGACAGTAACTATCAGCAATAAGGAAAGTGCTTTCAGAATCTGTGCTTCTTATGATAAACACGAGTTTTCTCTCCTGCTACCAAATCCAACTAAACAGGTTTGGCAGGTTTTTTGAAACAGCACAAAAACTCACAAAACCTCCTTCACCCAGAAGGAAAGCGAGACACATTTTTTTAAAAAAAGGTGCTTATTTCCCAACTAGCTCCCACTTCCAAGGTTTGGGGTGGAAACTAGTCTGGATTCCAAGCAAAAGTGCTCTTACTTCTGTAATTTTATGTTGTTGGGGCTTATTTGAACTCAGCTGCAATTTTTCTTCTAAAAGCAAAATAAAACTATACAATCAAACAAATATTACTGAATGGGAAAAATATCAAAATTAATTCTGTAAAAAAAGAAAACAATATACACTCTCTGCTTGCATCTGAAAAAAAAATTCCAAATCTAATGAAACTTGTCATTCACTATTGTTTTCTGCTGGTTCATTTATTAAAAAGAGACTTTATGATTTAATAAAACAGGTGAAGATACACAGCAGGGTGTAGTGGGAAATGAAAAATCTGCTGTGGTTATGTCAGACCTCCTTAAAGGGTTTGTTGGATGGCAATTTAATTTATTGTCTCTGATAGCACAATTTTAATACCTCTGCTTCATGTGGCGAATTTGTACTTTGCAGTGCCAAGTTCTCTATCTCAAGACAGAACATTATATTAACCCATATTTTTGGCAGAGGATGATCTAAGACAATTAAGGGGGAAGCAGCATCTTAAACCCATGTAATAGTGGGGGCTTCCTCTCAAACAGCCATGAAGTTCATAATTTGGGGACAGGATACAGAAAACTCTTTGTTGAAGAATATTTCAAGCTGTTTTTCCTCAACAAGATACCCCACAGATACGTTGAGTGACAACCTGCTTTTTACTCTTAGAATAAATACATAGCCAATGGGGATTATGGGAGTTATCACGTGCACCTTTAAGGGTACCAGGTCCAGGAAAGTCATTAATCCAAGCAGGCTGCTTAAGCATATTTGATAAGCTACTTAAAAAGAGTGTAAAGCTGTAGAAAATTGGAAGCAAGAACTCGGATCTTTCAAGACAACCAAAATAATTGTTTTTCAGCTATCCCTTGAAACTAAATACAGTCTCCCTTGAATTGGGCTCAACACCTAGCGATGACATGGACTTGACAAAAGTTCAGAAGTGAATTGCTATTGCCTTTTAATGGGATTTTTTTCAATTTCCCAGTTTAGCATGCTGTCCTGAAATTTCCTGGTGTCTTTCAAGTACTTATCAAGTCCAAATCTTATTTATTTTATTTGTTTCTCAAATATATACACGATAACAAGTATAGATATGAACATAAATATGAACAAAGGAAGTAAATACAGATAAATGAGGACAGTAAGATGGAGACGGTAGGCATGCTGATGCGCTTATGCACGCCCCCTTTACGGACCTCTTAGGAAGGAGGTGAGGTCCACAGTAGACAGTTTGAGATTGAAGCTGTGACGGTTTGAGGCTATAACAACGGAGTCGGGTAGAACATTCCAGGCGTTGACCATTCTGTTGCTGAAGTCATATTTTCTGCAATCAAGTTTGAAGCGGTTTACCTTGAGTTTGTATCGGTTGTTTGCCTGTGTATTGTGGTTGAAGCTGAAGAAGTTGTTGACAGGCAAGATGTTGTAGCAAACAATTTGTTTACTATGCTTAGATTGGACCGCAGGCAGCACAGTTCCAGATTGTCCAAGCTCAAAATTTCAAGCCTGGAAGCATAGGGAATTCTATTGTGAGTAGAGGAGTGGAGTACTCTTCTTGAGAAATACCTCTGAACCTGCTCAATCATGTTAATGTCCGATATACAGTGTGGGTTCCAGGCGGACAAGCTGTATTCAAGAATTGGTCTGGCAAAGGTTTGGCATGCTCTAGTTAGCAATTCAATGTTACTGGAGAAGAAGCTTTGCAAAATAAGGTTAACAACTCTTAATGCCTTTTGGGCAATGCTGTTACAGTGAGTTCTGGGGCTTAGATCGTTTGAGATGAGTACTCCTAGGTTCTTGACAGAGTGAGGGTCATCTACGAGATCATTTCTGCCCAACGTGTGTTTGGTGTTCTGATTTTTATTGCTTTATATATTCTGGAGTTCTACATGTCACATTGCTACGGTACCTTCAGGGCTATCTCCTCTACTAAAATCAATTTGCTCAACCTGATCTGTAGATGCGCATCCTGACTCTGAGGCAAATTAAGAGATCTGAACCTGGAAATGGCCTTCTCCCTTACAGCTCCCCCATTCTGGAACAACTCAACCTCTGAATGTAAACATACCTCCATCTCTTTATCTTAGGCCAGGGCTGCCAAACTCCTGGCCCGCAGGCCGGATGTGTCACATGCTAGCCATGCCCATGCCCGGTTTAGTGAAGGGGGAAGAAGTCCCGATACATCACGTGATGCCTCCGTGACGCTGTGAGTTTGAAACCTCTGCCTCTTAGGCAATAGGTGCAGGCCTTCCTTTTTGCAGGCCTTGGGGGAGTGAGAATTATTTTAATGTCTCTTTAGTTGCCAGAGTTTTATGAAAGACCACAGCATTTTTAAAATATTTTTTTAGTATTTTGGATTTATTTGTTTTTTAGTGCACTGTTGCAGAATTATTCAGGTAGGCAGTACACAAATAATTACAATGAATACATGCATTTCTAGAAACAGGCTGTTCTATCCAGCAGCATCTAAGGGAGGAATGGAATGAGGGGGAAAGGCAGAATGATGAAACCAGTGCAAGGTTACCGTGGTACTATCCCCTCTCATTGTATAAAAAAGCCAACACAATCCTAGGCTGCATTAACAGGGTTAGAATCAAGATCACATGAAGTGTTAATATCACTTTATAATGCCTTGGTAAGGCCACATTTGGAATATTGCATTCAGTTTTGGTCACCACAATATAAAAAAAGATGTTGAAACTCCAGAAAGAGTGCAGAGAAAAGCAACATAGATGATTAGGGGACTGGAGGCTAAAACATAGGAAGAACAGTTGCTGGAATTGGGTATTTCTAGTCTAGTCAAAAGAAGGGCTAGGATAGCAGTGTTCCAATATCTGAGGGGCTGCTATAAAGAAGAGAGAGTCAACCTATTCTTCAAAGCACCAGAAGGCAGGACAAGAAGTAATGGGTGGAAATTAATCAAGGAGAGAACCAACCTAGAACTAAGGGCAACCAAGGACAGTTATAACTATTAATCAGTGGAACAATTTGCCTCCAGAGGTTATGGATGCTCCAGTACTGGAGAGTTTAAAAATAGGTTGGACAACTATTTATCTGAATGGTTATAGTTTCCTATTTTAACAGACCTCCAAGGTCCCTTCCAACTCTGTTATTCTGTAATTCTGTATGTGCATTTGGGATATCACACACAAGTTCTTTAAGGGTGGACCTTGTGATGCAACACACAGGGCTGCTTATGCAATTTTGATGAAAGCAGAAAAGCTTCCTTAGACACCCAGGCATTCTTTTCAGCACCATGGCAGCTGCTCAACTCAGTGCCTGTTACATTAATTCTATGGTCTTTCTTCAGTTTTACAGATTTTTTTTTTGCCATGATGGTTCCATTCTTTATCATTAAATAATACAATATAATCTACATCTAATCCATATGGAACATCTGAGATATTTACAGACCCACACAATATAACGGAGATATTTTATTAAGAAATTGTTAGTGGTAAAATTGTTTTGCCCACATCCTTCAGGATCTTTTTGATTGAGCAAAGTTGTCACTCACTAGAAATTCAGTAGACTAAGGAGTGAAGTCTTGGCAAAAAGTTGCTGAAATATCTTGAGTTTGTTTGATGCTAATCTGGAAATGCTGAGATTTTCCTAATTCTGAACAAATTTCGGTCCCCCTCAACAACATATGTGGTAAAATGTTACCGCCATGTGTAGAAAAGAAGTTTTAGCAGGCTTATTTTTTCCATAGCTAAGCCCATTGTTATCCTCCAAATTGTAATCTTATCATGTATACAAGCTGTTCCATATAAATAGCCCCATGTATATTTTCAGTAGTTTCAGCTGAAACCCGTTAAGAGCAGATGTGCCTATGGTTTCCTGGCAAGGCCTCTTCTAAAACGTATTTTTCCGTTAACAGCATTCCCCCATGCCATTCCAACCCTTTTCCTTTCTGTTCTGGGAAGGAGTGGGAGAGTAGAAAGGAGGGAAAGAGTTTCATTCATCGTTAGAATGATTCTTAAATGTTTTTGAAGCTGGTTTGATTTATGGCACTTGAGTTCTGACCTTTAAGAATTTTGAGTGCTGGGCAAAAGATACCCAGAAATTTGCTAGGGAGGTCTTTTCTCTACTTTTCCCTTTCATGTTGCAGTCTCAGTATTCAAGGCAGAAAGATATTTCATGCAAAGGAGATCATTGATTAGATTTGGAGCTTGAAGATTTGTTTCATTTTTTTGAAGCAGCATTGTTCTCCTTTTCTCCCCTCATTTACACCCTTCTGTTGGATCCAGCAAAGAAAAATGGCTACATTTCACATACTTTGATTAGCTGTAGTTTGTGTTTAATCTTATTTCACAAGCCAGAGCCATGCCTTGTTTGAACAATTCCTACTTTTCCTTCCTTTTAAAACTCCTTTTTTTGTTCTGCATTTTTGCAGATTGGCTAATGGATTATGACACAAACCAATAAGACAGGTACAATAATTACACCACAAATACCCAAGTTTGCGTTCCAAATCAAATCATGATTTCAAACTGGCTTGCTATCAAAACCAAACTAAAGTTTGTTTAATTACATTATCACAATATGCTGTGCTGAAAAAGACAAATTAATCGATTTTAGCACAGTGCTGTACATGAATTTAGTCAATGTAGATATAAAGCTGGCAGTTTTTCTTCACTATAAATTAAGGAATTTAAGTTAACTCTATAACATGGTTTATCAACCTAATCAACAAAACAGAACAAGAGTTTAAAATCCCTCTTTTCTCTAAAAAGAATTCTCTATCTGTGAAAGCTAACAATTCTGGCTTGATTTCCTATTCTTACAACCTATAACAGTTTGAGAGAGGGGGCATTTCATGTTAGAAGTGTGACTCCAGTGTGAAGCGATATATAAGTCTAAGTGCTATTGCTATCTCTGGCTCTTCTTTCTTTGCTACCTAGAAAGGCCTGGGCCCATGCACGCATATGCAGCCTTTTGCTTGCTACTATCCTCATGATAGGATTTACCTTACTGGGTGCTAGGCTTGGCTTTTTTCTATATGTACAATATATATAAATCTATGTATATGTAAACAAAAGCTAGGAGTGGCGCAAAGAGCCATGGGAAGGTACATGCTCGGCATTATAAATCAAGAAAGAAAAACCTGCACATGGATTAGGGAACGAACGAAAGTATATGATATCATCAAGAGAGTAAACGAATTGAAATGGATATAGCAAGAAGAACTGATGGCAGGTGGACCAAGGCAGTCAAAGAATAGATCCCACTTGATAAAAAGCTTCCACGAAAGAGACCTAAAACAAGATGGATCAGTGACATCAGCAAGCATTGCAGGCCCAACTGGCAAAAGAAAGCTCCAGACCATATTGGCTGGAAACATGCCGAAGAAGCTTTCATCCTGCCATGGATAGACAATGGCTAAAATGATATAAATCTACTTCATTAATTCTTAGGTGATTCCTATTTCCATGAACACTCTTTCTTCTCACTCTCTCTCAAATGAACAGCAAAGTAGCCGAGAATTTTACAAGTAGAATTCCATCTTTTATGAGGGCACCAGGCTGGGGAACATGGTGATAAAGTTACCTGTGCAAAACAGATGTGATGTAGTTTGTTCTTGAGAGGCATACTTGATTGAACAATTAAGTTATTGAATTTAGTAAGCAAACTGGCTTTTAGTAAATTCTTAAAATATGAGTTTTTCTGCTAAATTACAGAGGTACAGATCAATAACATTTAGATTTATGAGTACTTTTTGTATCAGAACGTTTCTTTTCTTATTTCCAGATTTCCCAGATGACACACAGATCCATTTCCTTCTCTTGCATCATGCAGCCTCTAAAGTATATGCTTTCACCTAGAACAAGCAACTCCCTTTTTTCACTGCTTGAGAACAGATGATATTTCAAAAGAGGTACTTCCCTATGTCTAAAAATATAATAAAATGTACAAAGATATATGAGTGCAGTAATGTGGGAAACATAACAGAGGTGCTTTTCCTTGTTCAAAAAACACAGATGGTGTGTCAATCAGCAATGAACCTGGGTCTAATTGCTTCCAAAGAAATGGCTGATCCTATTACTAATGGTACAGTTTCAGTTGTGTTCTAATATAATAGAATGAGATCACACATTTTATGTGCTCTATGTGTCTTTGAATAGTTGGTACCATGAGATTTTGCTTCAACTCTGTGTTCATATTTTGGAAAATTATAAAATTACACTTCAACACACACACACACATACACACAAACACACACACACAAAGATACTTGGCATGGATTAGTTCTTATTAGCACACCGTAACCTTAAAGCTACATTACTCTTTGGTACTTGTTTTTTTCTAATTATTGAAAAATATCAAGAATTGAATAATAGTAGCAATGTGGAAAAGTAAAATGCTGGTGACAGCAAGAAATGGAGCAGGGTAATGAAGTGTTCTATTTCCTCTTCACACATTCGTTAAAGCAAATATGTTCTGGTTTAATAGAATATCACCCATTTGGTAAATTGAGACAACTGGAGGAGGGGTAAAACTGCTGCATTTTTGTTGGTTTACTGCTTTGCTTAAGTTATACTATAATGTACCTTATTTAAAATAAAGTTATACACATTTAGGAATTAGATTTTGTTATGTTTGTGTTTCAAGACTGCTTCTTGTCAATTATAAAAGGTATGTTGCTTATATTTAAAGCCATTGGTTCGGCTTGGCAATATGCCCATTGTCCTTTGCCCTTGACTCTCAAGCTAAAGTATGAGGGTTTTTTCATCTAAACTGACAACTACAACTCTCTATTGGGGAAGCCAGAGTAGCAGTTTATGCTTTTGCCTCCTTTAGAGCCCCAAAGTCTCTGATAAGAGGTATCTGTTCTTTGCTCCAGACTTCAGTTTTGATAAGACAGAAGGCCTGTCAGAAGGACGGGGGCAGGGATGATGCTAATTGCCACTGCTGGGTGCTATCCTCCTCTCCTTGCATTGGCAGAAAACTCTCTTGACATAAAATTTACAGTTCAGCAGCCAATCCCTATCCTGCCTGTACTGCTAATCCCAGTTACTGACTCACTTGACTCAGGACAAGGTCATGAGTAACAAACCTTAACAGATTTTGTACATCTTGAAACTGCTGTTAGATGATATCAGGATAAAGAGAAAAACATTAACACTGATACAACTAAGAACTCAAGACTATCTCACAGCTTGAGAATGAGTTAAAAGCAACATCATAGGAATAAGGCAACTTTGCAAGAGGTCATCCACAACACAGTGTATTGTGTATGTATTGTGCCGTGATCTAAAACCTGACTGAAAATGGCCCACCTAACCTGTTTCCTCCAGGCCTTCTGGAGCTGCAACCCACCTTTTCAAAAACCTTCCCTGAAAAGAAGACTGGATGGAAATTGTCGTGTCCAACAATGACTTCCTGAAGAAGGATAATATATAACCACCTCCTTCAAGGCAGCAGAACCACTCTCTCCCCCACGGGGACTAACACCACTGTATGGATCTAATCACCTCCCAATTGTCCTTCCCAAAGCTATGAAGGGAATACATTCCAATAAATAAATGGCTAAAAACAATGCTAACTATAATCCAGTATAAAATGCTGTTATACTGAAGTTGTGTGTGTGTGGTCCCTTTGGGTTCATACAGTACATCTGTGGACATGGAGGTGGTTTTGCAGTCCCAGCCTGGAAGCACAGACAGAGTTCTAATAGGACTGCTAGAAGTGTACTTCTGCAGTAACTGCGGGTGTTACTCTGTGATGCCAATCATGGTTTTCTGTCAAGTTTCTATAACATGCAGCTAGTTCAGAGCCTGGCTAGCCTTGCTGTTACTAGAGTCAGTGTTTTTGTCCAAAGAGAAAGATACATTTGAAAACACAGTGTAATTCATTTTTTTTTCCGTTGAAAAATGTCTACCTGTAGAAAGTGTTGACTTCTATACTACTATCAATTCATACCATCAGTGATGGGTGTTCGATTTTTTTTTTTGTTTCAAAGGCCCTTTTCCTGAATATTTCCAAAAGGAAAGAAAAAAAAAGGATAATTCAGCCAGGGGCAGGAGCCAAAACATCACTGTAGAACCATCGGCAGCCAATATAGGCCCCTGTAGCGTATGACAGGAATGAACAATTTACAAATTTGTTTGGCTCTGTTGTGCTGGTTTTTAATTGGTTCCCTGAGAGGTCGCAACTACAGCCAGATGAAAAGTAGCCCATTTAGAATTAAAGCCCAGAAGTTTGCTCCCAGTCCCAAAAATAACACTTTCATACAAAAATATATTAGTTTTCTCTGTACCTCATTAGCATTCTCATTTTGTTCATAGTATTCTGATACAATTTACAGTCCCGGCTGATCAACCAAGGATTTCCAATTTATCTTTTTCTCATTCTTGATACAAAAGGCATATGTAAGATATACTTGGTCATATGTGCTAGGGGAACAAAGTTTTGGCATGTACCTGTAGTTTGCGTGTTTTTACAGTTCAACTAGAACTCTTCCATAAAGTGGTATTTGCCTGTAGGTCAGTGTTTCTCAACCTTAGCCATTTTAAGATATGTAAACTTCAACTCCCAGCTTGCTGGCTAGGGAATTCTGGGAGCTGAAGTCCACACACCTTAAAGCGGCTAAGGCTGATAAACACTGCTGCAGGTTTTAGTGAGACAAGAAGCCTAGGATCATATTCTAAGAGGTTAATCACTCTGATCTTCTTTATGATAACATCTTTTCCCTCACCAAATCTTCAGCCTACACTTTTCTCAGATCTTGAAGTGTGAAGGGCTTTCAACGTTCAAATTCAAAGAACAAAAGAGAGATGGGGAAATAATTAAGAGAGGAAAAACCTCAGGGTGGGGTATTTAAACTCTTATATGTTTTGTTGTTGTTGATTCTAGCATATATGATTTTTTTTTTAAAAAAAGTGGTTTCAACTTTACAAATACTGGTTCAAATTGATTTAATGTATCTGTTTAAGATATATGTATACTTTACATAAATTGTATTATTTGTATACAAATATACATTGTATATATTAATAATTGAAATAATTGAAATTAATGTATAATTAATCCATTTTAAAAATTTACTATTGTACCCAACAATAATTGAAAATATTTATAACTGAATAGAAATGGAAAATAAGTATTCTTTCATTTAACAGTTGCATTTTAATTATAAAAATTTTGGGGTAGAGTTACACTGGAAGAAATATTACTTGAAAAAGATATGAACCTAGGATATAGGAACAAGAAGAGGCAGCACAGGACAATGTTTTCTCAGGTCAAAACTAGTCTGGGTTTGGGAAGCTAGCACATTGTAGATATCTTACTTTATAGTCCTTCAAATAAATGTTGATCTCTTTTGAACTATTGCTTAAACTCTAACTATGCTACTTTAATCATGTATTGCTAGAAAGTAGTTAATTCCAGCAACAACACAGTCACTGTAGTTTACAAACCGTAGCTTATGGTTCAGCATACTGTACATACAATCAGGTGTATTTTATCTGAGATTTAGCAAAATCTGTGTAGTACTCACTGAGAGCTGATTCCCAATCAAAATGTACTGTATCAGACCAACAGATCACAGATATGTCAACACTAGTCAGTGCTCAGAGAGTTCAGTTATTATCCAGTGACTGAAATCAAAACAAAAACATCTGCTTTTGTTGCGGTGGTTTTTGTTTGCCAAGGAGAATTCCCAGTCTGTTTAAAAGAATTCTCTGAACTGATATGATAGTACATGAAGATTTATGACATCAAGGATATGGGGTTGTGATGGAACCTTTATATGGAAGCTCCTCCAGATATAATTAATAAAACAATGGAAAAGAATAATTGTAATTCAGGGTTAAACTGCAGGGTCTTTAGTGCTCTCTGAATTTGGTTGTTTTCTTGCAGAAATTTCATTACCAACCTAGGTAACATCATCAGTACTAGTAGGGAATGGGGTTGCTCTCAATTTATATACTAGTTGCTTGCCCTGTCAGGTGGGAAGGTCTTTCATGGTTCCTTGATTGGACTGTTGTTGTTAGCTTGCTTGTCAGAGTTGGTAGTTCCTTGACTAGGGTATTATTTGCTTTTTGATTGTTAGACTAATGTTAATCTTTGTGTTAATCTCTGTTCATCTGGGTGTTGATTGCTGGTGGGGAGATATTTTGGTCTCTTTGTTTCTTTTTGGCTTTTTGATTGTCTCTTTTAAATGGTATGTAGATGTTGTTTACCTCTATGTGCCTATTGGTGGCCTATTTATGAAAGAGCCAAATGTTTAGGAATTCTATAGCATTTTTGGATTAGCTTGGGATCCTCACAGTTTCCCAGTTGAACCTATAGTTAGATCTGTCCGTATGTTGTGAAATTAAGGAGTTCTCATGATGTCTTCTGACTGCTAGTTGGTGTTCATGGTCTCCTTATTTCTTTCAGACTTGCTTAAATCTATGTGTCTGTGTCAAGTTGCTGCATTACTCAATTTATCAGATAAATCAGCATTCAAATATAGTGATTAAAGTGATGTAAGATAGAGAAGCAAATTCCTATAAAAGCTTTAAAATGATCCATGTCAACTTAAATGAGGAATTCTTTTAAACCAGTACGATATATGTGTTTTATCTAAAGTCAAAGGAAGCAAACTTTTTTGTAAAACAGTTGTTTTTCCTTCTAATTTATTTGTTACATTTAGTTGATTTTTCAGCTGGCCAAAATGATTGAAAATGGAAAATAATTGTCATTATTTGTCATATGTGTTTGATGGCCAAAGAGGAACCTGCAGATTGAGAAAAGGGAACTAGTTCTTATCTTGTGGAACTTACAATTCAGGCACGATATTCGCAGCTTTGGATTTATTCAGGGAATTAATGAAGTGAGATTATATTATTCATTTACAAAATAACACTTTCAAAAGGTAGAAGAAGCATTTTTTTGCCTTTTGGTTCTAAAGCCAAGGCTTTTTTGATTTTGAAAACTGAGTAGCTATAGGCTTGACTGGTTCCCTTTAAAAAAATACAGTGTTCCAGGAGACAGGTGGAAAGAAAATTAACAGAGTACTGTCTCTAAAGCTCGTTAAGAAAAAAATTGATCACCTGTTTTGAGAAAGAGAAAGGAATGAGAAAAATTTGTATGGTACAGAATTCATAATATAAATTCTACTGTGTATGTGTGTGCAAGTACATATGCACACACACACACCAACCTGCTTCCTTACAATAAATATTGTCATATTTGATTTTGAAAAATTCAAGACTTGTCTTTATGTGAAGGATTTTCAGTGACTAATAATTTGAGTTTTTAGTCCTAACCTCAATCATTCATAAGGCCATACAGGACATGTTTCCTCCTGCCATGATCAATGCTATATTCTTATTATTTAAAGTAACATTATATAAGAACCCCAGTATATAGGTTATCTTACAAACAGTCAAGGCTTTACTACTTGATTCCCTGGGTCTCAGAACTTAAAAAGCAAAATACACATTCCTCCTTCTTGTTGGCATTGTATTTCACAATTTTTATTTTGAAAGATCTTAAGCAGGGGTGTCCAACCTTGGCAACTTTAAGACTTGTGGACTTCAACTCCCAGAATTCCTCAGCCAGCAAAGCTTGAGTTGAAGTCCACAAGTCTTAAAGTTGCCAAGGTTGGACACCCCTGCTCTAAAGTTACATGACTGACAGAAAACAAACTGGTAAATATGAATACAGAGAGGCAAGATTTACTTTAATTTGGTCCAGAAGGAGACATACCAACCTGAGTAGTGGTTCCAGAAAACAAAAATAACTCTTTGTGAACTGTCATAGAAAATGTTTGGCATCCACTGCAAGCCATAGTATAACTGCCCAATACTCTAGCAACACAACACCAGGAAGCTGTTTCTCTATATGAGTAATGAACTGCTAAGTGAAGAGCAGGGAATAATTACTTTGTCAATGTATGCGTAAGCATATGGATATGTATGTTACACAGATACATATGCATAAACATATGCGTGAGTATGTGTCTATCTGTGAGCTGTGGCCAGAACTATCCTGTTCTACATGTGGAGATGCAGCTGTGATATGCTTGGCATGACTCCCCATTGGGTGTGTGCCTGCAGAAATGGATTCAAACTCCTTTTGCACTTCCAGAATTCAACCTACTCAGTTCCTGCTCATAAATCAGGAAAGGGCTGTGCTGTATGAGTTGCCAGTGGTACAAAAGAACCACTCTGACAGTTGTAGAATACAGATGGCTGTGCCAAAAGCCTCTTTACTCACACCATGTCTGGACTGTTACTTAACACACTTCTAGCTGACACAGGGTTGGCTCACATCACTCACACTGCATTTACAGCACAGTTTTATCTGATTGTCATCTTCTGTTCCTGCAGTAGTTATACAATAGTGCTACTGTATTACAGGTGCATCCTGCATCACATATGCTGAATTGTTCTGAAACAGCTGATCTGTCCCTATGGGCAGGACATGGTTTCAACATTTATTAAGATGCAGATTAAAATTAAAAAGTACCAAATTGTATACTTTCCAGTAGCAAGTGGGAAAGGCCAATGCTGAGTGGTAAAGACTACATTTTGTATATCCCGAATCTTTAGGATTTTAATTATTGTTATTTATGTATATGTTAACATTTCACCTGTAGCTGATGGCAGAGCATCTAGTAAACCATGGTTATTCTCAAAAAACCCAAACTCAGTCAAATCATTTGGATGTGAAATCATCAAATGATTGACCATTTTCCACATTGTTGCCAAAACGTTACA